ATAATATATAAGTATCAACCATACATTCAATTAGATACTTATTTCTATAAGTGTACATATGCAAGTATATAACACGTAACCCTGGTAAAGAAAAGAAAACATCTTTTAATTCAAGTCGCGTGCATAAATGTGAAAGCTTTTAGATTTCTTGTGAATATACGACAGCCGTTATATCTTCAAAACATACATGAAAAATACAAAAATAAAAAAAACAACGTTTCATTTTATCTGGAAAAAAAGATAAATAGATTAGGTTAAAAAAAATAAGATATATTTTTTAAAAGTAGAATAACCTATTCCAAATTTTTATGTATTTTTTTTATAAGTCAAAAAATTACTTATAGAATATATTTATTGAATAATGGTATATATAAGAAATATTTGCATAACATATTGAACAGTTCATATCGAACGCTCCTTTAGTATGCACATACATTTCGTCGTTACCAAACAAAGTTTAAACGTTACACGCAATTCTTGACGTATTTAAGTACGTGTAACTTGAACTAAATTTTGCTAAAAATTCTAAAATATCTTAAAACTATCATTTCAAATCAATTGACCACAATAAATGATCAAAACTCGGAATAAAGTGTAACATCTAGTTACTGAACACAATATACTGATAATATTAACATTGTTTATCTGTCATCCTCAGGCACTATCCACTAGATGATATTTTGGCTACAGATAAGATAGCCGCACCATTCTAGTCAATCTAAATCGAAACATAATAAAAATTTCTGCATCAAAACCATTCAATACAGGGATCCTTCAAGATGCAGTTACCGTTACTCTTTTATTTAACATTTTTTTTATTTCCAACCTATCCCCCACTGCCTACTAGTCTAGTTGGTGACTTTACCGTTGATAAATCTCTAATACCCAACAATCTCAACTCAACCGTTACTTTCTTACACGTTTAAGAGCACCTTAACCTTCTCAAAAAATGGTACAAGAAAAAGGGTGTAAAAATAAACAAGACCAAATCGATACACTGTACGTTCACCCTTAAGAAGAGAAATATCCACCAATTATCCTCAATGAACAAATATTATCAACCGCACAAAATATTCGCTATTTAAGCATCGTCATTAAATAACCTTTTACCTGGGGTAAGGTTATGTATCCTATTCCTAAATGATCGGTTTCGTCTTTTTCACTCTCTCCTAACTTCTAACCAAATGAATTTTCCAACAAAATTATAATATATCAACTATTCTTTAAGCCAATATATAAGTATGGTATACAAGGGTTCTACAAAGATCTCAAACATAAACCATATACAACATGTTCAATCCAAAACTCTTTATGCTATAACCAAAGCCCCTTTTTATGTTTCAAACTAGTCCCAACACAATAATCTTGCCATCTTCTCTATCCAATATATTGCAAAATTCTTCTTTAAATTATTTAACATGAATCTACAAATCCATGCAAATCCCTTAATAAAAAGTTTTACTTCAGCAAACATTCCTGGTAATCCCAAAAAAATATTAGAAAGACGGTGGTGTCGGGATCTACTCATCTAAAATTTAATACCCAAACATTGTAAATATATTTTTATAATTATGATTGTAATTAACTGACTGTCAAAGTGCTTTCACTGGAAGGTTTCTTTATTCTGTCACTCAAGTCATAAAATATTTTACCACTTAAATTTATTTTTCATAACGTAACTGACTATGGAAATAAATATTTAAAAAAAAATATAACACTTATACGTCTTGTGTAATTGCTGTTAAACTTTTTATAATATTTGGGACCATTTTTAAAACAATAAATCTATAAAGAATTAACACTCGTACGTTTTAGATATTAAGTGCATGAGCCTATAGCCTAAATAAAGAAAAATTAATTTTAAACTATATACATTATATCTAAAAGCATTTAAAAATTACATAGACGCTATTCACTAATTGTAACTCTTTTTATATAATTTAAATGCCTGCTAAAAAATATTAGTAATTGTTAAAACTATTTTAAGATTTCGCATTTAACCTTATTGAAAATATTGTATCGTTTAAACTATTTAAAGTATCTATAACTCACAATATCATGACATTTATAAAATAACATTTATAGCTAAATGTATGATAATACGTTAATACGTTAATATATATTTGTATATTTACAGCCATTTTTTGACACAGTAATTAAAAAGTTTAAGCGAAAATATCCTGCTCAGGCTCATTTTCTCCTATGTAACACAAAACCATGTAATTACATTATCACATAAGCCTTTTTTCAAAAACATTTTTAAATAATTATTTCAATCAAGGTTAGGTTAAACTATTCAAAAATAATTTTGAAAAAAGGTTTTTGTGATTTTAGAACTATTATGATTTTGTATTACACGAGAAAAAAAATAAGACGAAAATATTATAAAAGACATGATTTCCAATGATAGTTCGCAAGAAAAAAAAATATTTTCAAAAGAAAAGAAAACTTTAACCGCAATCATTTTTATTTCACATTCGAAAAACACATTTTTGATTGAGTATAATAGTATTTTACAGAATTTTTTCATTTATGTACTTCTTGACCTCTTACGATAGCGTACCCCTAATTGTCAAATTATCATATATTTTCACACATAATAGAAAAAAAACACTACGAAATAAATTTAAAAATGAATAAAATTAACTTATTCATTGATCTATAATTAAATTTGTGAATATTTTAAAAAATAATTACAAATATGAAACCACTGAATATTTACATCTATCGTATATGATACAGGCACTCTGGGAATAAGTAGCTGACAAATTATTAGAATTTTATTTATGTTAGTATCAAATAAAAACACAGAAATGGTTTTATCTGGATATAAAAAAAAAAAAAATTGGCTAATGGATTTTTAATAGGTATTAGAATGGTATTCTGACGAACTATGCTACCCGATCAGATAAAATCTATAATACACTATGATGTCGAATAAAATGTTGCATGTATATACTTATTATACTATTATAGACTTATTTACTATAAAAAATCAAATTTTTATGAATAATAGTAATTAAATTATTAAATATATGGTAAATAAAAAATAGCTTAAAATATTTCAATTTAAATTTATTTAATCACTAAACTATATTATATATTTATTTCCTATATTACTGACCATAATACTGATTAATTATTTTATTAAATTCAACATATATTTACTTTTTTATTACATCACAAAAATTATTATACATACAACAAACAATTTGTTATTAATTTTATTATTAATTGTTAATTGTTTAACAACCCTCGTTTAGGAAAAAAATTAATTTAGTTATGTATTTTAGCAAACGTTAATAAGAGTACCGTACTACTTAGTTTCTCCAATACACGGAAAAAACAATGAATTATAAATATGTATAAAAGTTATGACTTGAAAAAATTCTATTAACAATATTTCTGTGGTCACGTAAATTATATTAAGTACCGGTTGCTAGAGACAACCATACGAATAACTAAACTAAAAAAAAAAAAACATTGTATGACATTTTGAGGTCATTTTTTTTTTTTTTTTGGTTGTTATGGTAACGTAATTATATTATTAATTAGTTATTAAGATAACCTAAAGATACTAAAACGTGAAATTATTGTATTTCAATAATTATTATTGTTGTCCTTGTCCAATAATTATTATTGTTGTCCAATAATTGAAATTAGATCATAAAAACTATTTTAATTGTAAAATTTGTAAAATCAAACTCTAAAATATTAAGTTCTTATTACATTCACAGTTCGGTATCGATATTTTTACTTCATTTATTCGTTTGAACATTTATATACAAAAAACAAACAAGGATTTCGTATTTTAGTTTTCAAGTCTATATTATATACAAACATACGAACATTACATTTTGAAGTAGATTTGATTAACAAACAATTATAAACCACTATTTTCTTTCTATAATATGATTTGGTTAGGTTACTGCTTTTTATATTTATTATCACTTGATTTCTCTCAGTAAAGTGTTTTAAAAATTATATTTCACTGATCAAATGATGACTTGTATTTACAATGATTTATGTATAGATCTATTCTTTTTATACATAAAATGATATACATTTTTCCTCTTATATGTAACTTCACCAGTTATTGATATAATAAAAAAATTATTTACATGTTAATAAAAAGTTTATCAAGGCTATGAAAAAAAAAGTTCATATAGCTCAAAACTAGACTAAAACATATCTATGTTAAAACATAAATTGCGTCCTAGACTTTTGAGACAGAATTCTTGGAATAATGTTGAATTTTACTTGAGCTAAAAATAGGTAAAATTCAAATAAACCAGAACAAAAAATATGGTTTAACAAAAATGTTCAAAAATAAAATAAATTTAAGCTTTCAAAAACATTAATTTACTTAAAATTTAATCATTGGCATAATAATAATTATTATTTTTATGATAAATGTATTCATATATTATTATACATTATATAATATGATTTAATTAAATTTTAAGAAACCATATTTTAAATATAATATATAAAAAGCTATCTAAAATAAATGTATTCTAAAAATAGCTATTGTTTGGGTTTTTTTTTGTGATACAGTCTAAAATACGTAAATCGATTAATACTTTGATAACAGCAACAGTTTAGTGTTTAGATTAATATAACATATAGCTTTACAGAATTTCATTGTTATTCATACAAAAGTATTTATTTAGTTTAGGGCTATAAAAAAAAACTAACTTGTAACCATGCCAATGATTAAAATCGTTATCAGTCCTAAACCTGTAAGTCGAAAAGAAAATTAGTGTTTAAAAAGCGTTTACATTTTTCAAACAATTTTCTTGAAACTTCTTTTTTAGCCAAGTACAATCCAAAAATTAATTTTTTTTTTAATCTAAAAGTAATTTGACTATTTAATTTTGTTAAAAAATTTAATTTGATCATCTCGAATTCTAGTATCCCACTTTTACGAGACGTAACTCATGCTCCTATTCTACATTCGTCCTTGATGTTGACCACTGTTAATATTCGGTTTTTCGCAGGTATGTGGCTGTGGTACATCCACAGCTCAACCGGATATGGTGCCGGATGGAGACCACTCTGTCAGCGATCGCATTGGGTTACGTAGTGTGCCCTATCATCTGCATACCCAGCTACTTGTCGTTTAATTTGTTCTCCCGGGTAGAAACATTGGACGCAAACGGCAACCGTCCGGCGGCGGCGCTACAGTCAGCGCTACGGCGGGCCCATAACAGCACCGACGTCCACAATGGCCATAGCAACGGTGGAGGAGGCAGTGGAAGTGGGGGAGGTAGTGGTGGAGGTGGCGGTGGAAATGGTAGCCATGGAGGTGGTGGACCGTTGCGCAACGTCACGCTGTATTACGTCAACGTTAGCGACTTAGCTACGTCCACGTATCTGGCTGACATCAATTTTTGGGTGTACAGCGTCGTCATTAAAATCATACCATGCGTGGCACTCACGGTACTCAGCTTGCGGTTGATATGTGCGCTGCTCGAGGCCAAACACCGCCGTGCAAAGCTGACGGGCAGTGGCCGCAAGTCAGCCGAAAAAGAGCGGCAAACGGACAGGACAACCCGGATGCTGTTAGCCGTTCTCATGTTGTTCCTGATCACCGAGTTTCCACAGGGCATACTCGGCCTGCTCACACTGCTGCTCGGCAAGCGCTTCTTCCAGGACTGCTACCAGAACATGGGTGAAGTAATGGACATGCTGGCGCTGGTTAATTCAGCCATCAACTTCATACTGTACTGCGTGATGAGTCGCCAGTTCCGCAACACGTTTAGCCTACTTTTTTTGCCGTCCTGGTTCTCCAAGGTTGAGTCACAAGCTCTGTCGCACGGTAACCCGACCACCACGCAAGTCACCCAAGTCTAGGGCGACGGCTCTTTTATGGTCGTCCCACCCCCTTAATTAACCTGTCGTCGTCGTCAACGTCGTCATCGTCGTCGTAGCATTCATATGCACCACCCATCACCCACAATCTAACGCCACCGATTATCATCGCCAACGACGACGATGACGGTGACGACTATGATCATATTATAATGTATACAGATCAGGTGATTCATCGAGCATGTTCATTCCCCGCTCCTCTCACACTTTAACTTAAATATGCATTTATTTAATTATTGATTTTTGGAATCTGAGGTGTAATAAAGTATCATATTTTCAATTCCCTTGATTTTTATACCATTTGTTCAAAGATGTTCAGTGATAATACAAAATACCACCCATGCTGGTGCTTATTTAACAAATGAATTTTTAATTTTTTTCTGGACTTATTTGTGTATTTAAATATTAAAATTCTATCAAGTATTTTCCAAGCTATTAACCATTATTTAACAAGGATTTAAATAAATATATGGGACTTTAGTGTAATAACATTTTTTGTAAATAGTTAATACTCATATATTCACATTTTATAGTTTGTAAAAATCGTCTGATTTTAGTTATTACAATGTTAATTATTACATCTAATTTATAGTTTTTTAAAACCATTTTTAAGGATCATTATTAGTACAAAAATATTAATGAATCGAAGAGTAATTGATAGTATTTTGATTTTAATAAAACAAAATAATTTATCGACTTATTATTTTAACAATAGAAGTTTATATCAGTACGAAATACTCTCAAAATGGTATAAAAAATCTAATCAAATATATGACTTTTAAGTGTACCCACATGAAAATTACAAAGTTAAGAATTTGAATAAATTCGTTTATAAAAGAAAAAAGGAATAAGTATGCTCAGTAAATCACCCTACATTTAAACATTTTCGAGTAGAGTTTAAGCCTCTTTACAATTCTGAATTATAATACCAATATGTTAACATAAATTAAAGCGACCATACAGGGTTATTGTTTTTAATCTACAAGATGTTTTTAGCATTGAACTATTTCACTGTTCATGTTTCGAGCCTTTTAAATATCCTTTTGACCGCAAAACTTACGTAATCTCTTATTTGGACTATACATTGTTCAAATGCCTTTTTACTTGTACAAATATTATCTGCTGCCAAACGTTTAAAAAAATATTGAACAGATACAATAATTATAACTATTTTATACATATAAATATAAAATAAGTAGTTCTAGTCCATAGAAAATAACTGATTTCTGATAAAAATTTCTTTGGATAAACGAAAAATAATAATAATAATGTTTACATTAATTTGAATAATACCCAGTACAACAATTCGGTTTAGATTTTTGGTATAAAATATTTATGTATTATTCAACAAAATATTTCGATAATTTCATATTATGTTTATAAACAACATTATTTACATATGGTATTCAAAATTAGTGAAATAGTCGAATGTAATAAACAAAAGCATATTTATATATGTTTTAATTTTAGCCGTTAATGCAGCAGTGTAGACCGGACGAAAGAGCGCTGACCTGAAGACGTTTTTGATTCCTGAGTTACCGTGAAGTATTATACGTACAATAACTCTATCGCAATTCCAAATGAAATAGACTATAATAATAACTTTTTTAAATTAAAAATAGTTTTGAAACAAATTCTTTGGTTGTCAACAAGTTCTAAATATTATTACTTTCATTTATTCAATTTGAAAGTCAAAAACAACAAAACTATTCTATATACTTGGTAAAAAAAAATGACGCACATAGAGATTGCATTGCTATAATGGCTTATGTAATTAGTAGTATCATCTATGGAAATATCATCAAGCTTGTATTTATTTATAAAAGTTAAATCATCGCGAATGATTCTGAAGTAAGAATCATATAAGTGACTTAACCATACCATTCGCATAATGTAAAATATTGTATTTAATAATATCAAAATCTAATGATGAATATTATTAATATCAACTTAAATGTAAACTTGGAAAAACTATGGTTAAAATTACAAAATCTAACCATTAGATATTACATTAGTTAATAAGAAAATTTAGATTTTATTAGTTTATAAATTCAAATTCTATTAAAATATTAGATTATATGTTTACTGTTAAAAACTACAATAAATTACCAATGTTAAAATATATAAAACTATATGAGTAAATTGTACTTGTGTATAAACATATTAATTATTAAGATAAAAATATTGTAATATTAAAATAAATTAAATTAAAACGTTCAACACATTTTTAGTTAAAGTATAAGGTAAGTACATAAATCATAATTTAGTCCATAATAAATAAACTACTTATCAAATGTTATATTTTTATTTGTTCGTCTTTGATAAGTATTTTTTAACTAAAATATTATATAGATCGAATTTTTATTGAATAATAAAAGATCATGTTGTATTTAGTTATAGCTTCTAAAAAAATGTTTGAACATATACATTTCTATGTTTACGCAAATTGTAGTTAACTATTTGTTTTTCTAATTTTTTGTTTGTATACATAACATACTTAATTTTATATATTATATTATAATTATGCGTTATATTTTGTAAATATCCAATTAAAATATTTACGTGCTTTAAGTTGGACAAAATTTATTTATAAGGTTCTTCTGTATTTATTTTCAGTTAACCAAACTCAGAAAATATCCTAATCACTTTTTAAAGATTAAATTTTCGTATAAATAAATTCAAAAAATAAACTAACATTGGGAGTTATTTCAATAAATATCTTCTTAAATCAAACCGGTGTATTCATATTATATCTTCTTTATAAAAATTATTAATTGTATTTAGTACATACAGGTTTATAAATATTCCTTATATATATTATTATTATTATAATTATTATTTTTTTCTCTTGACGTTTTATTTTAAAAGTTACTAGTCCCCTTCTACTACACTCCAGCTGTTAAAAATAAACAGATTTATTATTTAAATTCAAGGATTGAAATAAAACTGATATCAATGTGAATTTTAAATAATGATGATTTTTTTTAGAAATTCTCTAATAAATCAAAAGTATATTAAAATCAAATATTATTCCAAAATGTATGAAGAATAACTGATAATTTATTCAAGTATTAATATTATAATCGTTTTATATTTTTATGTTACAAATAGATAAAAACTTTGAATTCGATAATTGTAAAAAATCCTATAATATTGTTCATAAGTAGGTAATACCTAACCGGAGCTGGCGCAAGTGCAATACAACCGGTACACAAAGCAGAGCTCATTTCAAAAAAACAAATCATTAATGACTAAATATTATAATTTAGAAAAGATAACATAATAAATAATAATATTTTGTTTTTAAGCCTACAATTTAAATAATATTTTAAAAATATCCTTCAAAACACGTAGAGGTTTATGGCTTTCGGCTATCTCCACGTGGACCATATGCCAGCGATGTGCGATAGTCACGAGTCACGGAAAAACGGAATGTTTTGGTATTCACCCTATCTTCCCGAGTCGTCTATGGACCACCAGCGAACGTAAACTGTTTGGGCGAATAAATATATATCGTTTAGGCGAGAATTATTCAATTAAAAACATCGTTTAGGTGGTATGAAAATACTTATCATATAAATTTTACACTCAACAATTAATCAAACAAAATACATAAAGTGTAAATAATCAATAATCAGTCCTACTTAAAAAAATATTGATATAGATATTAATAATATTATTTTAATATAGATAGGTAGAAATCTACAGACAAAAAATAATTTCACTCGTCCAAATGGACTATTATTTTTTTAGTCAAAATTATTACTTTTGCTCAAACGACCACCACCCACGCCAGCACCAAATTCTAGGGTCTGTAATTTTTCCTTTTATCTTACGCTTGTCCCACAACCACCATGCTGCTAAGGTAGGTTCCTCAACTTTGAGGGACACCATATCAGAAGCAGTAAGGTGATCTTACGTATGACAAGGCTCTCTCTCCCGTGGTACTGATTGGGTTTCAAGTTGACATCAATAGGTCAACTCGGTGCTGGGCCGCTCTCACTATTTTAACTCCCAGCTAGCTAGTGGTGCGCCTGATTTTAAAGAACAGTTCTAATGTACTGTATTTGTAATAATACTAGTTATTGGAATAAAGACATGTTAAAATATAATAAATTATATAATAATTATAATATTATAGTTAATCGTATTGTTCACCATAAATAATTATGAGCATTTTAATATATCGATTATAAAGTGATTAATCAAAAAGTATAAGTATGCCGTCATGTCAATAATATTATTTTGAGATCTCAGTATCTCAATTACTTGTGCTCTTCTTATTCTTCTAAAATATAAATTATTAAAGACATTTATTTCATTTATTTGTACTTAAAAGAAAAAAAAGTAAAGAGTATGTATTAATTATTAACTGTTGTGTAATATTTTATTTAAATTATCTTACACGGGGCTCTGTGTTGTAGCGCCGGCTCTGTACCAAAGTAATAATACTATTTTTTTGTTTTTTTGGACCTGTAACGACAAGTATAAGATGCTCGAATTACGATCCTGCACATACGAGGTAAGCAAATTAAAATTATTAAAATAAAAAAGTAATATTTTAAGTAATAAAATAAGGAAAAATACCTGTAACCATAAAAAAAAAAAAAAAATAATCAAATCAAAATTGTGCAACAAAATAAAAATCATTAAATGAAAAAATTAGTACAATATTTTAAAATAATTAAATTCGAAAAAACTGAAAATGTAATATTAAATCGAAGAGTTTCATATAGATTTCAAGCCCTGTTTGAATATATTACATAAAAATTCATATTAAATTGATTTAACTTTTATATATTTTATATCATTATAAATTTTACTATACGCAATGATATTTTTGATTTATTTTAAGATATTATTTATTTATAGAAACTATGAATCTATTATTATTGATTTACGGTATTCACAAGAATATTTATTAAATTTTGTGTGACATAAGTTAATATTATATAGTATAGATGTATATTATTATAATAAATTAATACTAATAATACCATAAATTATTAACCTATTGTAATATTTATAGTAAAATAAATTACATTAAGCTATATCAAAAAAACATATCCTTGGTAGTATAGGTTGATAGACTGTATTCGTTTAGAATCATTTTTCGTATACAATGATGTATCATTTAATTCGATTTTTTTAAAGTAATTATTACATGTTTTGATATTTTTTCCTATTACATTAAAATGCGTTTTCTAATTATAAGTAAAATTTCAAAAAATGACATACTTATAGGTAGATACTATTACAAAATAGATTTTTATTTTTAAAGTTTTTAATAAAACAGTAATAATGAATGTAGTCATTGGTTTTAACTTAAGGATTTCCTTAGATATCCGGGTCCATAATACTATTTTTTTTATATATATAAAACTAGTAAAATTATGTAAGATAAATTATTTGACACATTTTCATTAAGTTATCAATTAGTGTCAATTTATAATTTAATAAATAATGTT